TTTGACATTAAAATGGGAATTTGTCATTTGAAACTGAGAACTGCAGCACTCACTTCCTGAAAATTGTTCACGCAATACAAACTGCTTTTAAGAGATTATGGTAAGGTTGAAACTGAAACCTTATTGAGTAGCCTACTTGTTATTCTACATTGTTATATATTAAAATTTGTATGGCTCTTGTAAAATCATGAAATAAAGTCTGGAAGTGAACAAATTAAATTCCGTTAGAGCATTTTATATACTTCCTACCATATTTTGTCCGCACAATTTAATTGGTTAAATAAATGTTATGTAATGTTTGTTTTTTTCTGCAAAAAATCAGCCTCATTAAAAATTCCAGAATCTGAATATGCAAATGTTCATTTCTAATGTTTTCTTGCTGGACTCATGATGCCCCCTACTTCACTGTACTGTCCATTCTTGGTGTATGTGCACTGGAGAAGTTGCAGACTGGACCAGAACTGACTTCCAAACTCTTTTTGGAAATCGTGATGGTAGGCCCTGCCCCTTAAAATCAGATTTTCATTGAGCACAGAGAAACATTCCACTTTCAGCAGATGAATGTAATAATATCCTTCAAGTGTGACTCTGCCCAAACAACATTTATAAAAAACACTGTAGGAACAAGAAACATTGTTTTTTGACTGGAGGGAGACTTTAACATCCAACCTTCCGATTCTCCTAAATCAAGATGAAATCTAGAATCTAGATTTTCAAAGGAATAAACTAATGATGACTATTGGATCAATGTACAGGGAGGTGGTGACGAGAATTCAGCCACACGGGGGCAACAATGTTGGGAGTATAGTAGATGTAAAGGTAATGGTTTTGGATAGCAAAGGTTAAAGCAGAAGGATATGGACTGGGAGATATTTGAATACCCCAACCCCTGTAAAGGTGTTATTCTGTGGCTATTCCCGAACACTGAAGGAGATGTATATAAAATATACATACCTTAGTTATCTAGACATTTACACAGAGAATGGGTATTAAACCATCTATCAGTTCATACAACTGAAATGTTAGCAATAATAATAAGTCTGTAACAGTGGGAAGAAGTTATGCCAGACACTGGTATTTTGTGTATATTCAGGATAAAATATATGGAATCAGTAAGAGCAGACTTAGTGCTAGAAATAAACCAGAGCCTGTTTATACTGCTTAGAATAGGACGATATAAGATTATGTTGGGTACCTGATCATGTGGGCATTAAAGGGATTGAAGGAGCAGACAAAAATGACCAAAGTGCAACAAATGAGAAAGATAGTGGCTTTTTTTTTTTCACCATGCCACGGACACACAGTTTGACGCACAGTAAATGAACTTATGATCACCAATGTGTCTAGATTGCAGTGATCGAATTTGAAGTCAATCTGATAAAATCTGTAGGAGGAGTTAGTTAAAATAGAAGCCCTGAAATGCCGGAAATGGCATCACAGTTTGACATTCGATTCATCCTGGCCAAATTTGACGCCATGCCATGGACACATGTTAAAACAACAAGGTGATGCTCGCTGTGTCGCTACGGCAACACAGTTCAATAAAAATTCGTAAGATTCGTAAGATGTCATTGTCAACATTCTAAGGGTCTTCTGACCAAATTTCAGCTAGATGTGTTCAATCTGCTGGGAGAAATACATTAAAGTGTAATATATCCAACCACTAGGTGGCACTATTACTGAACATTATCACATAGATGTGTTCAGGGTGGAACTCTTATCAGACAAGTGAAGTTTGGAGCCGACTGTACACTCAAGTTATAGCAAACTTGTGTGTTCTGGCGGTACATCAAAATTTGACACCACACCACGGACACGCCCTTTAACAAACTTTTCACCACAATCATGAAATATCATCAACAACATGTTTTGCATTTCCTGACCTGAATTTCAGCTCGATCTGAT